AATCAAAATATTAATAAGAATACCGGATTATATAACTTATTATTCTTTCTTTTATTATAATGTATATATATATATATATATATATATATATATATATATATATATAGATAAATAGATATGAACATCGATTGAATGGACAAACTGAAACTGCTATGATAAACACAGATAAGAAAAGAATAAGATAGAGGACAACAGAAGATGTACTGACATATAGATATTGACAGAATGAGAGGGTAGAGAGAAGAAGAATCGTCGTGTGAATAATAATAATAATAATAATAATAATAATAATAATAATAATGATCTAAAAGTCAATTTCCCATTGTATTGAGCATCATCTTTATTTCAAGATGTCGTCCTCCTTCGTTGAAATTCAAGGGTCACGTGGGGTGAAATGTCGAAGGAAACATACAATGCCCGGAGGTCATAGGTCACTTCCCCCTAAATGGGAAGTATCGCATTTAACTAATTGGGACTGTGAGGCGCCTGGAAATACTTTGACAATTATTTCCCACGATCGGTTTCTTGTTTTCACCATTACAATCACTAGTGGCCTTAGTGTAGTTGTTGTCGACGTTTTATGATGACGCATGCGCAGTGCTGATTGTTGGGTGACATTGCGTATCCGGTATGATACCCTCTTGAACAAAGGACTGTCTTCATGTTGTTTCAGGAGATAGCGCTGTTATTTTTGATGTTGGGAGTAGTGATGATCTTGGTACTCAATGTGAGCAGGTTGATAGTAATTGTGGCTGGGTGGGGGCTGTAAGATTGCTGTGGTGTCAATGATGATTTGCGTTAACAATAATCTATTTTAGCTTTTGTCAAAAGAATTTGTTCGGGTTTCGTATAAATAAGCAAGTATAAAATATTAAATATCTCAGAAGTGTTTCAACACGGTGTTTACTCATTCCCCCACGAGAATGAGATGTGACACAAGGTCGGCTTAATGTGGGGACCCGAGCGAGTGCACCCGGGCAGGGACAAAAAAATTCCCCTCAGCTCCCGCAACCGCCGGTTGCGCTGGCCTCGGTGCGAGCAACGATCCCCCCCTCTTGTGCAATGTGAGGGCGCGGCCTCGGGCAGCTGTTCCCCATGGCCGGGCACCTCAGTTGCCCCTTTGTTCTTTGACAGAGAAGACCCTGAGCGCACTCTGTCCAAGGACAGAGGCACAACTGAGAGAGGATAAATTATGCGAAATCCCTCCAGGACGCAGTAGCGAAATACGAACAAGTGTTGGACACTGAGAATCAGAAAGGAACAGCTGAAAGTACTGGGGCATATAATGAGGAAAGAGGGTTTAGAAAATTTGACACTCACGGGTCATATTGAAGGCAAGGGGGACAATGGAAATCAACGTATAACCTATTTAGCAAGCATAAAGAACAACAACTACAATAAGAACAACAAGCTTTTAAAAATATATATGGGATAACGATATATATATATATATTTATACATCAAGAACAATTTAGGGGGGGAGATGTATGACAAAGTTGAAAAGTTTCCGGATGGTGCGTTTCGTTCTTTAGGACTTCAAAATTTGTAAATGGTTGGCAAAACAGGAATTACGAGAGATAGCAAAGTGACAAACTTTACTAAGAGTTATATAGGAAAGGAAATTGTGGAGAGCCATGATCACCCACGTCCTGAATGGCCACGGCATATAGAAGAAGAACAACGGCAATCTTTTGTCAATGGTTGGCAGAACAGGGATTAGGAAAGATTGAAAAAAAGACAAAATTTACTAAGTTACATAGGACAGGAAATCGTGGAGAGTCATGATCGCCCACGTCCTAAAAACGTGGCACATAGAAGAAGAAGAAGAAGAAGAAGAAGGTAGGAGGAGGAGAAGGAGCAAATGACCGACAGAACAGGAATTAGGAGTCAGCAAAAGCACAAAATTTATTAAGAATTACAAAGGACAGGACATTGTGGAGAGCCATAATCAGGAAGTGTTGGAAAAGAAATTCTTATCATGGAACTTACGGTTTACATCTAACCATTTCAATTGTAAACTGAGGAGACCTTTCAGCCAATCGAGTACTGAGCTTAAATTCATAAAGTATAGGTACCATAGCGAAGTGTTCATCTGAACAATTCACATGAAAGTATTTATAGAAACGGTACAGGGAAGCAACTTTAAGGCGGGGGGAAAGTGACTGAAGCCGAGATGCCATGTGAGGACCAATAATATTGCTGATTCTTCTTTGAATTTTATGAAGAATCTCGAAATATATAGCAGGATCACCGAACCATATGTGAAAGCAATATTCTAAGCGTAGACGAATGGTAGACTTATAGATATGTAGCTCCGGACTCAGGGTTGCATATTACGGATCTGGGGTCAGCAATGCAGGACCGAACAGTGTGGAAAGGGATTATTGTCACTGGAGTTCCGACCAACCATAGGCAGGTCGAAGGATGATGATGATGATGATGATGTTATGTTGGAGAGATTCTGAAGGAAAAATTGTCTAGCCCAATGCAATGGACCAAC